GGGCCAAGTCTTATAGTTATTATTCTCCCAGAGAATTGAGATAGGTTACAGAAATTCATAAATAAAAGAGATAAAAAGAAAAAGATTAAGAAAATGGGGTAAATGGAAAACGAAGATTCAAAAATAAGATGAAGTTGGGATGAAAAATAGAGTTGTAGCATAGCTTTAACATCCCCCTCTAGTGCTTCATCAGGCAAAAGTGAAAACAGGACCAATTAAAATAGAAGAAGCAGTGTGAGGAGTATACTCAGCTCTCAGTAGAGAGGTAGAATATCCTATCAGAATGGAACCTAGCACCAAAGAGTAAAGAGTCAAAGAGCTAATTTACCAGGATATTAATTGGAAGGACTGAAAAAGACTGAAAATGTGGCAGAATATGGTAAGGAGATTATTTCTCAGTATCGATACCTAACACTTCCTATATAAACAGGTCAAGCCCAGACAGTGACATACCTAATACTTCCCATACAGATGGGTCAAGCCAAGGCAGTGATGGAAAGGTTTATGGAAATTTCAGAATGTTCTCACCATATGTATCTAATCATATTTCTTTGTTTCCTGACATAGAGTAAAAGTCTGTGTGATTCGAGGGCACTGTGAACTGTAGTATAGAACTCTGAGAACCTGTGAAGGCTTCCTGGCTTAAGTGGTGAGAGGTGTTGACTTGTACAGGGTCTTTGATACATTTGTCTCAGATACCATCTTTTCTTAAAAATAAATGCTAGATATGCAAATCAGTATGTTTGCCTTCTACATATTTAATTATCCTAACATCTAACACTGTTAAAATCCAAAGAGGAAACAACACACTAAGAAATTATTTTCTAAGTAAAGTTGCATACTAACTGTTACAACAACAACACACTGCCTTTTAGTCGAATCCAACTCATAGTGACCCCTCCCCTTGGGTTTCTGAGGCAGTATCACTACAGAAGTAGATTGCCCAACCTTCCTTGTGAGGAGTGGCTGGTGGGTTTGAACCGCCAGCCTTCTAGTTAGCAGTCAAATGCCTTAGGCACTATGCCACCAGAACTCCAGTACTAACTGTTAATAGTCTTAAATATCACTGTTTTCAAAGATGCTAAGTTGAGCAGCAATGTGGAGTAGTGGTTACGCACACAGATTTTGGAATTAGGTAACCCTGGATTTGAATCCTGGTCCTGCATTTATTACATGTATAAGCTTAGACAAGTTACTTAACTACTAATACATTTCAGCTTTATCATCAGTAAATTCCCATAAATATTCCTCCCTCCTGTGACAGGTTTAGGATACAAAATGAAAGGACTTTTCCCATTGCACCTCATCAAGCATATGCAAAATGTTAAATTTTAGTATCACCATCACCACCATCATATAAATAATCTAATATTGCATCAGAATCTTTTTTGAATTAAAAAAAATAAAATTTTAAATTTTATTTAAAAGCTTGTTTTACATTCAATGTTACATGTACATTTAGTTTCACTCCCCATTTACCGTGTCCAAACCTAGCCTAGTCTCCTCCTCTCCCTGCCCTGTAACCGTCACCCTGTGCCCTCATAGTTACGCACGCGTGTACCCTGCATTTCCTCAACCTGGATGTCGCTCCTCTGCTGCCCCGTGGTCCATTGCTCTAAGGGATGTGGGTGCGTCCTCCTGGGTTGAGTGGTCTGCATGGACATCTTGTTAACTACTGGGCTGAGAGCCAGCCCCTAGAGGTGAGTTTTATTCCAGGTGCAGAATGTATTCCAGAGCAATAGTATTGGGGGTCTCATCAGACTTCCTCTGACCAGTAATTCTGGTCATCATTGAGTTTTTTGCATTTTGTTCCACATTTTTCCTCCCACTCTATCCAGGATCTCCAGATTTGATCCTTTCCTGAGTGGTTGGCATTGGTAGCTGGGCACCATCTAGTTCTGGTCTCGAGGGCCATTGTGTCCTAGGGCTGATTGTTTCCAAATGCCCCCCCCCTTTTTTTTGCATTCTTTTTTGCTTCCGATGCTAGGAGACCGTTAGCTGTGTCTTAGATGGCTGTTTGAAAACTTTTAAGACCCCAGTTGCTACTCGCCAATGCAGGGTGCGGAACAAGGCTTTTATGTATTTTGTTGTGCCAAGTGAGTCTGGTGTTGCCCAGTACTATGGTCCTGAGCTGGTAGATCTATTGGATCTCTCTCCAACAGTGTCTGGGTGTCTGTGACAGATTATTCTGTCTGTCTTCTATTGTTTTTGTAATGATTGAACGATTGCAGGTATTTTGTATCCCTGGTGTGCATCAGAATCTTCTTGAGGAAGAAATTCAATTTAGCTTTTTTAATTATCAGTTGTACAACTGGCAAAAATATAGTAACTTCCTTGAAGCACGTCTTGTTCAAGTTACTCAATGTTTTAAAGTATAACATTAAAGATACAGAGAACCCGGTAGCCAGTTGCTTTCTCCCTGTGGTCACAGACAACTCTGTAAGTGGTTTTATATGGATACTCTGTAAGCACTGACCTTAATTTAATCATAAATATTAATACTGAGGCCCCCTTTCTTCCTGTGTAGTTGCAAAGGAAAGATAAATATATACTGAGGAATGGGTACTTGGATATGCACTGGTCCTAGGCATTCAATTTAAGCATGTCCTCCTCAGTGATGCTACTTGAGGCAGCCAACTGAATGATTTAAGAACTTTAACATTTGGGAGGCCCTAATTCAGTGTTCCAGCTGGCAAACTTGAGGTGGGTAGTTTTATCTTTAGCTCATTTTATATGCTGTTCTTCCATTCCCTTCCTTTTTCCATTTATTTTCTTTTCAGATGTAACTCTCACTAATTCTAAGGTACTTTAGAGTTGAGGAGGAGCTCTGGTGGTGTAGTGGTTAACACTGACACATTCAGCTGCTAACCAAAAGGTCAGTGGTTCTAACCCAACAGCTGCTCCGTGGGAGAAAGATGGGACAGTCTGCTTCCTTAAAGATTTACAGCCTTGGAAGCCCTATGGGGCAGTTCTCTTCTGTTTATAGGGTCACTCTGAGTCAGAATGGTCTCAACGGCTATGGATTTGGTTACAGGAGAATGTCTACTAAATGGTAAATGTGCAACACATTTATGTTAAATAAATATAACAGAGCTGTGTTAAGAAGAACATATATAGTTTTTGTTGTTGTTTGTAAAGTAACATCAAGAACAAAATCAAGAGGCTTCAATGACATGAGACAAAGTATATGTGAACCGCTGTATGAAAAGTGAATTTACTCTGTGAATCTTCACCCAAATCCTAAAAAAAAAAAAAAAAAAAGAGGCTTCAGGTATATTTAGTGAAGGGAACTCTAAGACCCAAAATTATAAGACATTTTGGATTATTTCAGTGGTCAGATCCTGAAACACGGTGCCCAGGGGGACACAATGATTAAGTCTGGCTACTAACTGAAAGATTGGTGGTTCGAACCCACCCAGTGGCTCTGCACGAGAAAAACCTGATGCTCTGCTTCTATAAAGATTACAGTCTAGAAAACCCTTTGAGGCAGTTCTACTCTGTGGCATGAGGTTGTTATGAATGAAAATCCACCCAAGGATACCTAACAACCTCCTGAAAGATAATGCTGGGTGATAAATCTTCCTCAGCCTATCTCAGTTCTGTCATTAGGTGTGTGGCTTTGAGCTAGGGTGACCTCAGATCAATTTTATCTGCTTTCTTATCCTCCTGAGGGAAATGCAACTCATCTGACTAAACACTCATACAGTATATTATGGGGCACCTATGGGGTATAACGCCTAAGGCATTTGACTGCTAACCAGAAGGCTGGTGGTTGAAACGAACCAGCCACTCCTCAGAAGGAAGACTGGACAATCTACTTCCATAGAGATACCACCTTGGAAACCCAAGGAGGGGCCACTATGATTCAGAAATGACTTGACGGCAGTAAATTTGGTATTTTGGTTTTATTGTTCTAAGAACTTCACAAATGTCAACTCATTTAAACCTCTCAACAACCCAAAGAATGGGGACACTTAGGGTGGCCAAGGTGACACAGCAGTTAGTGGCTAAGCA